TTTGGTATTTTGGTATTTTACCATAGTTTTGATATAAGTAATTATAAGATTTTAATATAGTTTTGACAAAATTTTGGCATTTTAACATTTCGATAAGTGAAAATTCCTCTAGTTTTTTTCAATAATACTAATTTAAAATTAAAGTTTTAATAGTAGATAGAGGTATTGAATTTCAAGGTAATGTTATCAAACTAATAAATAAATATGATATTCAAATCCAACTAGCTAATTAAAGGAATTATAAGTATTATTAAGAGATTTAATCATATATTACAAGAGTAGTTATTATTTATTCAAGATATTGTTAAATAAAATTACTTTTTACTAAATAATTTTAAGCTTAAGTAAAAGACCTTTTATTTTTTTCTTAAAGCATAATAATTCTGTAATATGACTTTTAAGTATTTTTTTTTACTAAAGTTAGAAAAAGAATATATTATTGCTAAAAGCTTTTAAGTTATAAAAAGTGTTTATTAAATTTGATACACTTAAATTATTCTTTGATGTCTTAGTAAAATATTTGTTTAATTCTAATAAATTAAAAAATACAAGTAGATATGCAACTAATATAAATTGATTTCTCAAATTTATCATATTAAAGAATCACTAGTACAAAAAAGTCTTATACTAACTGGAAAATGATGAAAGATATAGTCTAAAAAAATCTTTATAAGAAAAAGATTTGGTTATTAAAGAAGTATAACCATTATTTTAATAGATACTTACAAATTAAGAAAATCTTCTATTTTTTCTTTAGCTTTTTCTTCAGTATTAAGTTAATTTATAATTTAACTTGTATAAATTTCTAATAGCAATAAGAATTTTGAATTTTTTTTGTAATATTATTTATAATTATCTATAATTTAATGATATTTACTGCTTAATATAATTTTTAATCTTTCTTTATAATTTTACAAGAAATTCATATTTTTAGTTTTTTATAATATCTTTGCTTTAAATATATTAATTAAAACCTTTCGACTTCTTGGAATATAAATTTAATTTTGACTATATAGACTTATAATTAAGAAATTTTTTATATATTACCTTTACAAAATTTTCATTATTTTTCTCTTATTAAAAATAATAAGAGAATATTTCTGTCTATACTTATATAATAATAGTGAGATTTGTAGAAGATATTACATATATTCTGAATAATATTATTATTAGAAAGTCAAGATATATATCCTAATAATAAATATGGTAAGATTATCAGTTTCTGGCTTATATGTTAAAGATTATTATGTAATATAATACTATAATAGATTAATAAATAGAATCTTAAAAATACTTAAAATTGTTAGTAATTTTTGATAAAATTTTATGTAAATAAATTAGTTTTAGAATGGTTTCTTGTATATTAAAAAAAAATTTGATATATTAGAATACTTTGAAAAATTTGAATAGTTAATAATTTGTGGTAAAATATTTTGGTAAAACTACTTAGACAAAATTTATTTTTGATAAAACTTTTTAACTTTATATTTATGATAAATAATCAGTTTAGAATTAATTTTAGAATAATATAAAAATATAGTATATTTATTAACTTGAAGAGTCTTATATCAGATATTTCAATCTTTAGTTATCTAAACTTATCTCTAAGGTAAGCAATATAATATAAAATTTACTATAATTGTTAGGTTTGCAAAGTCACTTAATAATATATTCAAATATTTCAGTTTTCAATATTATCTAAACTTTTTTAAGGGCAAATAGAATAATATAATTTTTTGTTATCCTAGACAGATTAAAATTGGATTAGAGAGCTTTAAAAGTCAGTGTTATTCTTAATATCTAATAAAGTAATTTCATGTTAAATTTAATATTAGAAATATTTGAATAGTGAGATTTGAACTCAATTTGGTTTTAAGCTTAAATTTTATAATAAATTCATATTGTTAGAATTGTTTCAGCCTTTGCTAAAAACATTTTTTAGTATCCTATGAATTCTGACTCCAAAACTCTTTTTTATATCTTACTGCAACCAAATAATTAAAATGACTGAAACCTTAGAAGTTTAATAAGTTTCTTTTATTTAATTAGTTTAATTAGTTAATATAATTAACAAATTTAATGAAATTTATAATGTTTTTTTAGTTTTTATAGTTTTATTTTATCTTTAATTAGTAATAGAAGAAGATCAAATATTTTATATAAATAAATAGGAAATTGAGTTAGAAAACAACGGTAGTTAGGGTAGTTAGTCAAGAAGTTAGTTAGTAATTAATTGTAAATTCATATTCTGATAAGTTCATGAACATGAGCTTAATCCACTTATATTTTATTAATAAATCAACTATAACATTAAACTCGTGATCTAAAACCCAATCTACCACTATTGCACTTGCAAATTTTTACGTATTTCTAATTTATATATATATCCGTAGAGGTTGGAACCGAATTCGACCTTCGGATTTAAATCCGGTTTCCCCCGGTTTAGATTTAAAACCGGATACAAATTTTGCCCGGCAGAAAAACCGGATTTATTATATCCGAATTTATTTAAACCTCCGGATTTATTATATTCGGATTTATTTAAACCCCGGTATCTAGTTATTTTTGACCAGTCATACAATGCGCGTCACAATTAACTAAAAACAAATTTATTTATTTATATTGGCTAATAGTTTGTCTAAGAGCAAATTCTTAATTTAGAAACCCGAAACGAAACGAAAATAATGTTATTATTTACGTTTGTAAATTTTAATTTATTATTGTTATATTATAAACTAAACTTAAATTTGAATTGATTACAAATGCTACGATAATGAATTATGTGGACATAACAAGTGCTGATGTTTATTCAACACTAAATTTTTCTAATTCATTATCGTCGTACTCTTGGAGAGAAGGCTTTTTTATTTTTAGTTCTTGTAAATTTTGCGAGGTTTTTCAATTTCTTCAGGTTCATATCACATTTCACTTCTGACTCGACCACAAGTATTGCATCTTTATAAAATATAAAATGGTACGGCTTAAAGCGATCGAACCAAAAAGTAAAAAAATGGTAAATAGAAAAATTGAAAACTAAAAATAAAAAATACGTACCGCGCGAACTTTCGATAGTTACGGTCCGCAGTGATTCGATCGCCTAAAAAAATGAGTAACAAAATTTAATGAAAAATAAAATTAAAAGAAACATATCTACCAATCCGAATCATCTAAAAAAAAAGTTAAAATAAATAAAACAAAATTATAAAAAACTTTTTATGTATCGCAGCCTGAAAAGTGTCCTAAAGAAAAGAAAGGAATCAATCAAATGTATTATCTTTTTATCGTTATAACCAGATTTATTAGGATTTTTTTCGTTAAGCAAAACAATTTAAACATTTGCATGCAAAGCATTATGAAAGTTCTAGCAATTCTTGCAGTTGAGTGCTTTATCGGATACAATAAATTCGGATATAATAAATCCGGATTGAATCCGAAGAAACCGGATATAATAAATTCGGATTAAATCCGGTTCCAATTTTTGAAAATAAATAAATCCGGATATAAAAAATAAATCCGGTTCCAACATCTAATATATCCTCACAATTCCCTGTACATATAAATTGATATACATAAATCTATAATTCTATTAACGCGAATAAGTTTCATAGGATAAATCATTATCATTCGATACCTTTAACTTTGCTATATATTTATATTAATAAAATAATTATTATTTATTACGTTTAAATTTATAATTTTATTATTAGTAATATTAATTTATTTTCCCACGTACTATATTTAGAAATTGGCTGTTTAGTCCCTGCATCAACGTAGGCTTTGATAAAATGATGAAAAAGGAAAATCATTTTATTTATTTGGGTAATTAAATGTATGATTACAGAATTGTTCGGGCTTATGCTTATTTCACAAATTACGTAATCCGTTTTTTCAAATTAAGTAATTTAAATTATTCAATTTTTTTGGTGTTACAGGTTGAATTATATTAATATTTTCCATATTAAGAAATTAATTGTTACCAATTCCATATGGTCGGCTATCTATGTCATTATATGAAGGCAAAAAATAAAATGCTTACACCTCGTAAAGGACATAACTGTATCTAACTAACGTTATTTCGGATCTAGATAAAATTAATCGAAAATATTAAAAACATACCTGTTTTAGATAGATTGATAGACTATAGTATAATAGGTTGAAGTTCGTAACGTCGTTATTAAATAAATAGCAAATTTGATCTATAAGTAATGCATCCAAATGCTTTAGCTTCATTGATCCTCTCAGAAGTAATGACTATCAAGTTATTTTTCCTATTAAAATCTTTTTTTTGATACATTTTTTATCATTATCGGTCTCCTATGAAAATAAAATTTAAAGATATATTGAGATAAAAATATAATTAAATATAATAGTTAGTTAGTAACTTTTGGTAAATGAATTTAAAAACGAGTTTTTACTATTCAATCTGGTCGTTAATTTATATTTTTTTTTAATAAAAAAAATACAAATCTTATTAAGATTCATTGCTATTTGTAGTAATAAATGATAGATTTTAGAGGACCTTTTTTATAAAGGTTTATTATTTATCAAATTAAGTGATCAAATTTTTTTTTTAATGTAGGTGGCGCAATCGCAAATATTACTAATATTTATTTGCTTATAAATGAATTTTGCTTTTATTTTATCAAAGTCTCACGTTACTTTCGGTATTCCATTTTTTTTTAAAATATAAATAGCAAGAATATTCTTTCAAAAAAATTTGTTTTCATATTAAACGGAATATAGACTTCTTTTTATTTTGTGTAAGTTATTTAATGATTTGCGAACATAAAGTTCAAAGAATTTAAAAAAAAAATAGTTTATTGAACTGAAAAAAAGAAAATAAGTTTAAAAAAATAATAACTTTTTCGTTTAAAACTAACCTTCTTTATTTTTTAAACAAAAAAAAAAACAATTTTCATTTTTTAATTTTAATAGTCAGAGTATAAAGGAGAATCAATCGTTATCGTCTTCTTCTAACGATACATAACCATCAATTTGATATGTCCCCATTTCAGTATGACTATAATAATAACAACCACCATTGGGTTATTATTGATGAGTCGTCCTCAATTGCAACTAATCAACGAAGTAATCTTCCCCAGCCTCCATTACCAATTATCAAAGTCCCATTTCCGCCAAATGTAGACCCAGAAGAATTGATATTGAAGCCAAGAAAAGCAAAATCTAAATTACCAACGAAACCTCCTAATGCCTTTATGATTTATCGAATGCAATATGTGAAAGAGTTGCACGCTAAAGATTATAGGTTACCTATGCGAAGCGTATCGGCTTCAGTTGCTTCGGCTTGGAGAGAAGAACCTGAACAAATCGTAGAGTTTTATGAAAAAATTGCTAGAGAAGCGAGCAAAATTTATAATGAAAAATATCCAAAACCTACTCTCCAACCGAGACTTTCTGTTGAAAAGCATGGTCAAAAGAGACGAAATGGGTTGACCAATGGAACTTCGACGTCACTAGGACATTTAAATCATTTAAATGATCACGCATTCAATCATAACGAAAATACACGCCCAAGTCATTTTCGTTACTTTCCTGGAACAACGACATTAGAAAATCATTCGCTCGCCCATTATCATAATCATAACATGCATTCTCCTCCTTCTTCTTTAGCTATCCCTTCTTTAATGACGGATTACGACAATTCCGGAGTTTTTGGAAGAGCTCAAATGCGTTCTCCAAGAACTTTATCAGCCCCTTATTCCTCGACAAATTCAACTAATAGTTTATTACCCTCTAACCTTCATATGCAATTGCCTCACGTCAATTCTTTGTCTAATGCTCCATTACAGAGCTACATGGAAGAAGGTGCAACTTGTCCCACTGGATGGGATTTCGTAAATACTCATAATTGAACAATTTAATATATATACTCTCTCGATAATAATTTTTAGTATTATTTTACACTATTGCGTTTATTTCATCGGACACTCGTATAAATCGTTTTTTATTTCTTTTTCTTTCATATAATTGATTTTTTTTACCGTAGATTTAAGTTTTAAATAAGCAATAATATTCCTATCCTTGATAATACGTGATACTAATCATGGTTCAAAGTACTAGTCTCTTTTTTAATTTTTTTTTTAAAAAAAAAAAACAAATTCGCGTTTTTTTTTCGGACAATGATCTTTTAGATTATAAAAATTGATAGCTTAACACCCTTTTTAGACTTACATACTGTACACTTCTATGTTTTTGTAATTAATTTCCGCATCACACTTTTATACAGCAATACTTTTATGATAATTCAAACACATTTCACCATAATATTAAATAATAAAAACCGTACCATTTATACGGCAAATGTTTTACACGTTTTTTGAATATGAATTTGAAGGTTCATGAAATAATAAATAGAAATAGAGATTTTGTCAAGCCGGAATAATTCCGTGTATCCCGAAAATCTGCCAAGAATTCTTCAATGCAAGATCAGACCCCTGCGCGCTATAAATAAACTACAAACAGTATTAATATTATATAAGTTTGCATTAAATTATGTCAACGAAAGTCAAGATCTCATGATTCATTAAATATTCTCTTTGATTTTAGAATAGAAAGTCTTGGATTTATATGAAGGATTTAAATAAAGGCCATCTTTGAAAATCGTAGCTGCTCGCTCAATAAACGTCTTTCATTTAAAGTAAAAACATTTTTTGATGCAATGACTTTTTTTTCCTTAATTTCTGAACATTGTATCATGATGTGTAGGCTAACCAAATATATATATATGTATACTGTATGTCAATCAAAATTTTAGATTCTTTTCCAAAGAAATTATTTGATTCGACCAAAATATAATTAAAAGCCGGTTTTTTTCCCTTTTGTTTAAAAAAAAGGGTTTTTATTTTTTTATAGAACTTATTGAGATTTTCCATTATCGAAAGAAATCAACTGACCACTACATCAATAAATAAATCCCATTTGCGTGACTTTTAAGCTGACAAATATGTACTGACGGCAAAATTAAAAGCAAGTTCCGAATAAATATCACAATAATCGAATAGAATCGCATGTAATTATGTAATTTATTATTTTGTTTTGGAATTCATAAAGTACAATATTAAGATATCAATTTGGTTTATTAAAATATACGCGCTTTTAAAGTTGCGTAGGTAATGTCGGTGGTAAACTCCGTGTTATGAAACATTGTTTTTCCTTTGTCAATTTAAATTCCAAAAGAAGCGCTGTATGTCCGAGTCCGAGTTGCAACCGGTTTCTTTTCTCTTTTTTGTCGATTCGGTGTAATGTAGCAAATACATGAATATAATTAGATCAATTAATATTAAACATACATTTCACAAGCGAATTATTCGTTTGCTCCTACACCAAACAAGTTTTATATGAAACAACTTGAAACCAAATCCGCTTCGGGTTGAATGAAAGCGCTTTCCGTTTATAGAGGTCAATTCGAATTTTCATAACGATTTATTCTTAATAATGATTTTTGTGTTTCCCCTTTTTTTAATAAAAATAATTTTAATTGGTGATTTTATATTTAGGTTAATAACGTTTCACGTATGCTAACGACTTTCAATATTGAAAGATTTAATGATGTCTTTTACTTTTACTAACATATAAAATAAGGAAAAAATGATTTGATCCTTATTATTTTGTAACACATGCATTAATGAAATCGCGACCATAATCTCTTTAAAAAGATTTTGATTGATAAAGTTAATGACAATTTTTTTTTTGCGGTTTTTTCGGCCCCCCTGTCTTCTATATGAAGAATGTAACCAAACAAGGAATTAAAAATATTTTCCTACATGAATGACCAGACGGAAATCGTGTAAAAAATTTTGTAAAACAATTACAAAGACAAATATAATCAATTGTATAACATGTACAGAATAACATTTTCATGGAGAAAATAATTCCAACCTTATTTCGCGTTTTAAAATTACTGCTATGCCGCATTTCTTTTATATAATAATGAAAGATTTGAAAGAATTGTGTGTGGCTTATGCCATGGTTTGATCGGCTGTTCATACAAGGTGGCGGTGCTGAATTTCCAAAACCAATTAAGGATAGGCTAAATTTTTTTTGATTTCCTTATTAAAAATAAAATTTTAGTACTGAGAAATTTTTTTTATGACTAATTATAAATTATAAAAAAAAAAAAAAAAACCAAAATTAGCCCTGTGCCTATCGCGTGATCATTGTGCATAACAATGACACTATCATGACATAAGATTTCACTACTTTTTTTTAATTATACAGTTTATAATTTAAAAATAAATCGATCTCTTTTGATAGCGCGTAAATTATAAAGAACCTGAATATGTAATGATTAAAAAAAAATTGCATTGTAATAATGTATTATTGGAAAATTCATCAGGCCACCGATGCGTGTTTTGGTGAAATTGAGTTTTCGATACAAAGAAATGCAAAGAAATAAATTAATTTCTCGTTTGGCTACATCAGTATTTTGTAAACAAAGAATCTTATTAGTCGTGAACTTGAAAGTTCTCAATATGTTCGTGTTGCCAAATATGACCTGATAAAGAGCACCAACGCATTCTAGCCAACATTCCAAGAATCATTATTTTTTCTTTCTATAATATATCTTTTAAATCGATTGTTATGCTTGTCTTGCTTTAATATATGTAAACTTTATGTTGTGTTTACGCTACACGACAACTTAAATTTTTTTATAGCGCGCCTAAATATTACTTTTTTGAGCCCCTGCTTTAAACTTAAACATCAAATGATAATGATTATATGCTAGATCAAATAGTCACGTTTTTAAAACGCGTATACTTTTTAATTCGCGTATTATTGCTTTAATATAAAAAATAAATACTCCAATCCTCACTCGTAGATTGTATTCAACAATCCTTAATATTAATTCATGTGTGACTGTTTGTGCAATCTTACCTCCTCAAATAAAATTTGCACGATAACGTCCGTCTGTTTAATGTTTGATAGGACATCTGGTATAATAAAATCTGAAAGTAATGAATATTTTCCATTTTTATCAAATAAAGAATTTATTCATCGGAAAATATATGCATTGCAGATTTATTAAACAATCTTTTTTTTCTTTTATTCGTAAATGTCGGATTTTATTACTAGTACTCTTTTCCTGAATTAGGTAACAAAATTAAAAAAAAAAATTGATCATGCTCGAAATTCCGATTTTCATGTTTATTTGGTAAAGCAGTATTATATAATTCAACATAATAGGTTAAAAAAAAAATTATATTCTTATCTAGGATTTTAAGGAAGCATTCTTAGACATGAAATTAAAAGATCAAAAAAAGTTCGGCCGAATATATTATCTTTTAACACATATTATGAAAAAGAGGCAGTGCAAAATATTATATATACTTTTGGCATTGTCGATCACCAGCCCAGTGAATAATTTTATGTATTATCTCAAACGTGTTAATTTTATTTGAAATGACAATTATATTGAGTAAGCTTGTTGGAATCTTACGACCCGTTCCATTATCCACAGTCCTGTTGTTTAATTGTTTTATCCACTAATCGAAATAACGTATTATTATCGTTATACGTTTTATGCTAATTGGTCTAATTGGTCGATCCGTCTCTGAATTTTTTTTTTCAGAATGTCATTACAGAATCTAAGATTTCTATTTTTAAATTTTAAAAAAAAGTTACCTATGATATAAGGCAGTAGGAACCTTTTCACAATAAATCATATTGGTGGGTTCATGAATTAACATCATGATTATGTAAATCTGAAATTACGTTTATCAATACCTTGTTTGAAAGAAGATTTTACCATTATAATCAGTTTTAAACTTTTTTATTTATTAAAATTAATAACGAAACGAATCTTTACTTTTTAAGGAACTAAAACACTTTATAAATAATAGGATTAATTAAATTTTTATTTAGAATATTTAGCATTTGTATAACGTATATATGAATGAATAAAAATCAAAATATAAAAAATAGCATGTATAATTTGAACACATTATTTATTATGCATTTATTGCATATATTATTAATAATCAAATATATAATTTACTAAGATAATTTTAAGTTTAAAAATATTTATTTGAGAACCTATAATAAATAAATAAATATGCATATATGCATAGCAATTAATTTTAAATAATTTATTATTAAATTCTTATTTTTTTATCATTTTTTTTTTTTAATTATATTTAAAATCTTTAAGATTATAAATCATTAAATTATAAATTTATAAGGTTATCTGCTAAATAAAGAAATATTTTAATTGATATAAAAATTAGAATTATTAATAACAAAAATATTAAAATCAAAAACTTTAAAAAGTTTTTTTTAAAAAAAAAATAATTTATATATTATATCTTCATTTATAAATTACAAATTTATATAAAATAATTTAAAAAAATAATTAAGTGTAATATTATTAAAATTTTATTTTTTAAAAAATCAGTTATATAATATAAAATATTTTTCATAATTTTAATATATGGGAGGTGATCAGTAGAAAAGGGGAAATCCAAAATTTTTGTTAATTTTTATTATTAAGCCAAATTTATGCATATAATCAAGATTAGCCAAATGGTCTAATAATATAAATTTTAACCAAAATTTAGATTTCCCCCTTTTCTACTGACCGTCTCCCATATATTAGAATAATATTTTATATAAGTGAATATAAATTTACATAAATTTATATAGGTAAACTTATAAAAATTATGTGAAATTAGTGATAAAAACTAAAGCTAAGTATAAAGCTATAATAAAAGTTAATTTTATTAATACTAAGTAGTAAGTAATATATTGGTTACTAAATTATTGAATTATTATTTACTTATATTATATACTTGATCTGTTAATACTTTAATTATCATTTAAAATTTAACATTTAAACTATACATGAAGTCGAAATGGA